AGCTAGGGTCATCGAAATGGTCCCGACTTTTTGCTAAGCACTTTCGAGATTATTTCTTCTCTTGCTTGGGCTAAAGGATGCTTCCATCTCAGAGGCCGACCACATTGAGACATTCATTGGATTTACTTCAGGGCTCCAGAGTGGTCACTGATCGAAGGTTATGAAGTCAAAGAACCCCTTTCACAGAATTTCTAGACAATTTCTGTTCTGCGGTCGGGAGCTTCATCGTGACAATACGACCGGTTGGAATCGCCAAAGTGTCCTATTGCGCACGAAGAGATCAAACAGGCCCCCAACCAACTTTCACTCCCTGATTTACAAGAATAATCGGTGTCTTCGCCTCGGCGGTGATGCTGGTACAGGCCATCACAGAAAGTTAGTGAGCCAGGCGCTGTATCACTGTCATTTCTTTAAGCTTCATATAAATGTTATCGCTCTCCTTATCGAGCACCTATTTCACTGTGAATTTTTTCTCGTCGGTGAACAGGAATTCCGTAGGGCAATTTTTTTCGGGTGCGACAGGTAGCTTTTGTTAGCCAACTTTTCTCTTCTCTTTAACCTGATCTCTGGGGAAATCACTTTCTGATCGTATAACGGTCTCGTTGTGCAGGGGATGCTTCACGATTTCACGCAGAAAATTTCGTGACATATCCATTCATTTATCCTTTTTGGACTCAGAATGAATTTTGCTCCTACGAAGACCTTTGCCCTGCTTTCTTGACACTTCCCCTAAATATAACCGCAGCTCTCCTAGGTTCACCACTCCTATCTGCAATTGTTCCCAACTCTCGAGAGCGTCTTATGGTTGAATGCAATACCTGCCTTGTTTCGCTAATTGGTCTGTAGATGCACCGTGCCAAAAGTGTTTGTAAATGCAAAGCGACGTTTAATTCACGGACTAGTTACGCTTATATTATGTTAAAAATCTACCCAAACTTTAGTATCATTAGAAAGGTTATAACGTAAGCTACTTTGTAAAATGGAGGAAGTTCAATGAATTTTTATGAACATAGAAAAATTTGCAATGAACGTCAGCGCGCGCTGTAATCATAATTTTAGCCCACCCTGTATATATCGCATGATCGATCAGTATTTGAGGATGGTGCTACAGTCTTTTTCACCTAGAAGAAGGATAGTAATTTCTTCGAGAGTTTCAAGTTAATTTTTCTCGAGGTGCTATCGTGCACTAAGGAAAAGCCATATTTCAGATAATTAGATGTACTAGTTCGGTATGAAAATGAATTAAGTGCTGGTAGAAAAGCTTTTCATTCAGATATTCAATACGAGTTTTCAATTAACGAGTGGGAGAGTGAACCTATACTTTTCAGACTCCCTCGGGGTGATGAGGTGAAACAATTGAAAAGGCAAATTCTAGTGAACAAGTGAGGCAGTTCGCGCGTCAAGACTCGAGGTCAGGTCTGAATGTTTCGCGGTTAAATTTGCCTCCATTTACAATGAACCGTTTCGTTAAGATAGCGAGGTTTCCACGAACTACCTGTATTTTGCAAAATGTTGCGCAAAGCCACCACTACGTGACATTTGGAGATGAAGGGTGTATTCATGCAATTATCGGTATCCTTATATATTCCAATTTCTGAATCTGTCCTCTTGAAGAAAGCCCTTTCCAGTGAATACACCTTCTACGGAAGATGTGAACATAGCTTCACATGATGACAGGTCACTCGGTTTGGAATTCAATGTAAAAAAGGTCACTGGGAACTATCGTGTACTGTACAAACCAACTTGAAGGGCAGCTGTTGGCATTCACACATCGTCCTGCTGCATTTCTGTATAGTCCTTCACGGCAGGCACAGGCCGGCGGAGCACATATTTCAGGGCACGCAATGGGACCCTTAATATGTTTTAGTTTGGAATGCAGTAGTATCAATGGAAACACGAGCTCAGAACTCAGTAGGCTTCATGAAACACTGTAAAGATTCCTTCATAACTTTCTCATCACCAAGCTAAGCACTTGTGCACTTCAAGAATACAAGTAGAGGTGATAGGCAGGGAAAGTAACGTGAAAGAGTAGGCGAAATAGAACAAGCAGTATCACAATGAGTATTCATATGAGATATCGGATAGGTTTGAAAAGTTTCAACATAACACAAAACTTCAAGACCTAAACAACGACGCCCTTTCCCTTCTGTTAGCAGTCTAGCTCTCTACCAACTAAACTTTTTCCGTCTAATTAGAGGCATTGCATTTACTTTTAGGCTCAACCTTATCTAATGCTCCCTATTCCGGACAAAATTCAACTGCTCATTGTCAATCATCCGTTAGTGTTTTCAGCCGAAATTATGAAAATTCATGTACCTTTCCAATATTTTCACATTTTCCTTCGCATAGATTTCCACACTGATTGAGCACTTCGCCAGAACCGCATCCTGAAGTTTAAGCTCTTACAGTGTCTTTACAGCACGATCCCGGTAGTTTAACTGGTAATTAATGTGATCATAAGAAAACAAGTACTGAATAATGGTGTTATCTTGCGCGGAACACATAGAGAATCTCCAAACTGAACTGACTCAGAGGGCAACTCCTGGCGTCCACACATCTGCCGTTGGCATTCCTGTAATATCCATCCTTGCACGCACATGCTCCAGGTGCACATATCCTGGGACACGGGATAGGACCCTAAACATGTTGGAATCTGTTTGTGACCAGGTGTTTGTTATTTACATTTTTGCGCGGAACAAACTTTCCAAACGGCCGAATACGGGACATCGGACATCCTGAATCATTCTCGTGTTCAATGTGTGAGACCTTCCACATTTCCTGACATTTCATATTAACCGTAGCGACTGAATTTATGTATCAGCCATGGGGCAGTTCTGATGACATGTGGGAAATGATGCAAAAATTTTATGGAAAAATGTCCCACAACGCACGTTAAAGAGTACTGGATGAGGAAAAACAGAATTTTCGAGGTCTAGTTTGGAAGGTTGTATAGTCAGTCACTGCAGTTCGCAGTACTTTTTCGAGTGAATATCAATGAAACAATTAGGTGAAAAAGGTCAGGCCAGTACGAGTGATGAAATGTAGGTTGATATTGTCCTGAACGCTCTATCGTTCTTCAAAAAAGTGGACATAATTGTCAATTTTTGTCAGGTGTCCGGTCTTCATTATTGACATGCCTTTCGATAAAAATACCGGCATCGGGGACTTTCCAAAGGTTTAAGCATGCATTAGCTTTGCGCAATTTATTAAATTTACTAAAATTTTTACGAGCTACACCGCACAAGCAAAGGAATCGGAGATTATGTGAGTCAGATACATCATCTAATTCTAACCAGGGAAGGGTTTTAACTTCCCATGGAACTTTGAATGGAGACCTAGGTATATCGATAGGGCTTTGAAAGTTATTAGGAAATATGGAAAGTAAAACTGCAAAATGAGTCTACCAACAAAGTTGTGAGCGTTCAAAGTTTGCATGCTTAAGCATGCAGACATAGTGCCAGTTGATAGGCCCAGCTCCCTTCGATGGGTACAACGGTCCCCGTGGCGTAGTGGCAGTGCTCTCCCTCTTCAGGTGGGCGGTGAAGGTTTGCTTCCCGCTGGCACTTTTGCTTTTGCAATACGTGCTTTCATCCGAATAAAAGCTCCTGAAACGTTTTTCTTACTGATTTAGGTTAGCGCTTTGTTTCGGCTATCATTTGACTCACCTATCTACCACCTATCACCGCACTTATTTAAAACTTCTCCACGTCATTTCTGTAACGCTCTTTCATTTTCAACTTCGAAACACACATATCCGCGCCCAAAGTAAAATAGTTGTGGACACGCGAGAAAGGTCAACACCAAACGACCCCAAAAATGGGTAGAGAAAACGTGTAGATGGTGGTGGATGTAGAGAGATCACATGTGCAAATGAGGCTCGCATTTTTTGTACAACTTATTTACTTCACTCATTTCTTAGACTGTTACATCAATATTCAGTTTTTCACACATATCTGTTTTGCGTGATTTGGATTTCCCCCTCCACCTCAACAAATTTTAAATAAGTGCGGCGATAGGTGATGGATAGGTGATCAATGATGGCCGAATCAAAGCGTCAACTCAATTAGTAAGAAAAAACGGTTTAGGAGCGTTCATCCGGGTGAAAGCATGTTTTGCAAAAGCAAAAACGACAGCGGGAAGCAAACCCTCATCGCTCACGAGGGGGAGAGCACTGCCACTACGCCACGGGGACCGTTGTAGCCATTGAAGGCAGCTGGGCTTATCAACTGGCACTATGTCTCCATGCTTAACCATGCAAACTTTGAACGCTCACAACTTTGTTGGTAGACTCATTTTGCAGTTTTAGTTTCCATATTTCTTAATAACTTTCAAAGCCCTATCGATATACCTAGGTCTCCATTTAAAGTTCCATGGGAAGTTGAAACCCTTCCCTGGTAAGATGACCGCTGAATCAGAAGAACAAGCGAATGGATCTCTCGGGGCGTCAATTGATCCCAAGGAAGGCCGCCGGTTAGACTTCATCACGAACACTTGAAATGAAGAAAACAGTACATTCCGTGCACCTTGAACGAGGAGGGACCATCGAACTAGTTAGAAGCTTCTACTCGAACAAATCGATGATCAACGCGACGGTTGGTAGAGCGATGAGCTGAGAGGTGATACAGGTGAATGCTTATGGCTATATTTATCAAGTCATTCACTTTATTGTGCCCAACGTTTTCTATAACTATAGTCCTTCTCGAAATGATGACTCTAACCATATGTGGTTTTTTCAAAATATGAGAGTGTACAGAATTGTAAGGAAAGTCTTGTGGATTTGCAATCCATCAGGCTTTATATCATCCATTCATGATCGAACGCACTTTTGCTTTGCGTCATAGAAAAAAAAAACAGAAACGGCGACATACCCTGCCGACATTTTCGCATTTTCCTTCGCACAGGTTTCCACAAGAGTTGAAAGTTTCATTGCTGCTGCATTCTGAAAAATTCTACTTGTAATTCGCAATCGAGGAAACACACCATTTTTGAGGTCTGCAGAGCTAGCAAACTTGCAATGGAGTAATCCACCTACGGCTTGGACACTGAGATGCTGCCACACAATTGTTGCTGGCGTCTCTGTAGAAACCGTCACGGCATGCGCATGCTGGGGGAAGACAAATGAGTGGGCAGGGGATTGGTCCCTGAACTAACGTTCCGTTACGTGAATCACTTTCATTTACGTGCAATAGACCAACCTTGTTTACATTCTCGCACTTTCCCTCGCAGAGAGCTCCACATCCATTCAGTACTTCATTCCGTCCACATGCTGGAATATATAAAGCTCTTCTTCTCCGTCACATAAGGTGGGTGCTATGAAACTATCTTTGCCTACAAGTACAGTACAAGCTCCAATGTCATGTGAATTCTTTTTGTGTAGTCTTATGGAAATCACTTTCAAGAATCTTTGGGATTGCTATAGGAGTGCCCACCCAATAGAAGGGTGCTTCATCTGAATATTCTCCCTGCAATCGGTTCCCATCTCCAAATTCATTGCTTAAGAGAAGGCACCGGCGAGGATGAGTTCTGGAGTAAGAGGGCTCCATTGACTTCTATAGTACGAATTTCAGCACTAAGCATAGTTCACTCAGCTAGAATGTAGCCTTAGCTAGAATGTATCCTCTCAAGAAGATGTTGCAGTCAGAGATTATTTTGATAGAAGATTCATGCATTGACTCGTTTATGGATTATGCATCCCAATAAATCAATAAGTAGAAAATAGAATATTCGTCTCTTCTCACCAAAATGGTAGCGCTGATGTGATTAATCTGCAATCGTCGTATTTACTCAGTCGTTTACTTGATTTGCAAATGTTGGAGGTATGTGAACGAGTATGATGGATAATTCACAAAACCATCCCCAGCTTTTGGGTGGGCTACAATTGCACAGTTCGTAAAAGGCATTTGTGCCTATCACGTTTTTTAACGGGGCACATTATTAAGTAGTGGGAATCATTATAAACGGTTGTTGATCGGTCACTCACGGCTTCGTTTCCTTTACTCGTACAATGTTGTTGAGGGAATTGGAGAGATGTAACGGGAGCATAGCTGTAAATTTAGCGGTCGATAACGTTCAGCCGATTTTGATTGATATTATGTTGCTGACTCAGTATGGGCTTCTAACTACTTATCTTTTAAGTGCCGAAAGTAGTAGTAGCAGGGTTAGTAAGGTTTCTCAACATAAAGGATAAAGTTCCTGGCGTTAATCAATCCTCTCGAGGGGATGAGCCCCCACACTCGACTTCCACTCAGAATCGAAGTGGCGTAATAAGTGCGTATGTGCCCTATACATTGACTTGCAGTGGCCAGCCGATGTACAAGTCAGTGCTTTTATAATCCCAATTCTCGACCCTGGAGGCATGGAAAGCCTGGTTAGCTTAGGCGGATATTTCCGGGACTTGAACCCCTGATCGTACGTGTGGGATATGTGATTACCAGGCGGCCACGCACGCTATTGCGTGCGCTAGGGGCTCTAGCCATGAGGGACGGCGCCACATGGCTTCTGATTCTCATTATAGACCCTTATCATCTGAGCCTCTTCCAGGACACTTCAGAAGCGGCCATCATTTTTTTGGGATGTGAAAAGGGGCTGTGTGTGGCCATGAAGAGTACTCCCATGTATCCAAATCAAATACCTCTACAGTCCACGTAGTCGAAGGAACCCTGTGTAGTTTGGGCTCTGTGTGGCCGTGAACACCAAATTTGAAGGGAAAGCCCATTTGGGTATTTGTAGGGATTTACACGTCTCTACAGGGTATGCACCTGTGTGACCGAGGTTATTGTAGAATTTATTTTATGAGGTCTGAAGTTAATGTAGTGCATTTGCTTCTGAGTAGAAGGGACTACTGCGTGTGGAACCACGGATGATAACTTAAAAGAATTTTTAGCCTAATTTTTGAAAGAGTTCAGTGGTGTCCCCTGGTTGTATACCTATGTGGTCAGGGTCAGTGTGAAGGACAGATGTAGAAATTCTTGATCTCGCGCCCGCCCCCCTCTTTGCGAACCCCACCCACTTCAGACTTCGAACCACATTACTTTTATGACCTCCAGACACCTTTTTCCCGCGTTCTAATACGCACATGAAAAGACTGAATAATTTGGATGTAAGCCCCGCTCACTTCAGTGCCCATCCCACCCAGTTCTGGGATCTGACCACATTTGTTCTACTATATCATACCACTTTTTTTCCCGCATCTCAGAATGTTTCAGAATAGAGTCATAAATTTTTGATCTAACCTCCGCCCACTTTAGTGCCAACCCCGCCCACTTTTGCGATTTGACCACATTTGTTCTTTTACACCTTAATACCT